CCAGTAACGGGATCGCAACCCTCGGTGTCGCACCCATACCGGGGACCGGCAACGGGATCACAACCCTCGGTGTTGCACCCACACCGCGCTCAGCCATTGAGCGGGAACCGGTCTCCACATGGGATCCGAACCCTCGGCAGGAGCGCCGCCACGCTCCCAAGCGGCGCACTCTCCAGTGCGCCACCAGGCCGGCCCAGACAAGCTAACCTCGGCGGGAGCGCCGCCACGCTCCCAAGCGGCGCACTCTCCAGTGCGCCACCAGGCTGGCCCAGACAAGCTAACTCTTAATTCTTCTGCTCAACTTCTGGTGATGCTCCAGTCCTTAATCAAATCCAAATTCTGCCTGACATTCAAGGCCCTGAAGACCTGACCTATCCTCACTTCCCCTTCCTTAAACATGTGGCTCGGCTCTTCACTCACCTGTGAGCATCCTGAGGATTTGCTCTTTCAATTAGTATAACACATGCTTCTAAGTCAGAACCAAGTTCCTCTCAGTACCTCTACAGAGCTTATGTGGGAATCACCACCTGAGAGTGGTAGAATGGCAAAATGGTACCAATATTGGCTTTGGAGACTGGCTTTCACCCTTGCTCTGCTACTTGCTAGCTTTATAGGCTTGGGTTTGTTTATACAATATACTGACCCTCAATTTTCTTATGTGTAAGATTGGAATAATAATAGAACCTTCCTCAATGAACCGTTGTAAGGATTAGATTAGTTAATAAACATAAAGCACTTGGTGCCTGACACACAAAGGGCTCAATAAATTTTATCTCAGATTTAGCATTTAATTGTATATCACTGCTTGCTATTGGTTTTGTTTCACCAGTTAGATTACAGACTCCAAAAGTAGGCACTCTTACACTTACTTGATTCTCCCCGTAATACTACTACAGAGTCAGATACGTAGGAATCGCTTATTAGACACTTCAGTACCAAAAAACTTCCAAATAAAAAAGATTTGACCTCCATTTAGGGTTGTCTGATTGACAGATTATAGGTTCCTAAGCATCCATCTACTAATTCACTTGTAAGATTGCAAAAGAGACCAAATTCTCCCTTAATTTAAGCTTTTAGGATTCCTTTAAAATGTCATAGGAGTTTTTATTCTTCATCCCCTGCAAAGGCTTTAGGTCAGAAGGAGTGGTGCTTTTCAAACCCTGGTTGCTATTACAGTTGCCTGGGGAGCTTTAAAAACACTGATGTCTGGGCCGAGCCCGTGGTGCATTTGGGAGAGTGCGGTGCTGGGAGCGCAGCAGCCCTCCCGCCACAGGTTCGGATCCTATATAGGGATGACCGGTGCGCTCACAGCGCTCACTGGCTGAGCGCGGTGCGGCCGGTCTCAAAAAGGACAAAAAAAAAAAAAAAAAAAAACACTGATGTCTGAGTCCCTCCCAGGATCAATTACATCAAAATGGGGGTTGGAGGGGTCCTACCATCTCTAATTTTTTTCTTTTAATTTTTTTAGTATGCTCCCTAGGTGATCCTAATGTCCAGCGTACAGTCTCTGAGGTAGAGCAATGGAAGATTTTATTCATGGAATATTAGAGCCAGAACAGATTCTTAGAAATCATGTAATCTACTGCTTTACTTTACAGATGAGAAGCTGAAGACAAGCCAGGAGGTGATTACACCATAGCCATACCAGCTGCTTAAAGAGAGTCCCTACTTGAATCCAGTTCTAGCTCTGTCTCCACTTCTCAGAGCAATGTTCTCCCAAACCAGAGCTCATCAGAGGAATTTGCCAAAGAGAGGGGGCAAAGGCTGTTTGTCAGGGTGGCCTCAGCAGAGGTGGAAGGGGTAGAAGAGAACACAGGTTCCAAGTCCCCAACCCTTATTTTGTCCAGAGCAGCTTAGCTTTTACTTGTGTATGATTGGGGAAAACATGTTCTGCAGCTTAAAGGAAGAGGTCAAAAATCAATGACCCCTCCCCTCATTTTACAGATGAGGAAACTGAGGCCCAGAGAAGACTGCAAAGCCATTCAGCTGTCAAGTGGCAGAGCTGTTAGA